CCGGCCTCTTCCTGGCATTAAAAGAGAATTCCGACCAAAGGCCAACAGGTTCCGGAAGTTGACTATATTCCCGTTCAAGGATTTGTTCTGATCGGGTGAATTGGGTAGTTCGTTTTGAGTAGGTGGCGAAGTCTCCTGCGCTTTCCGTTTCCTTGCGCTTTCATTGTCACTATCATAGCTTTCTTCAATTTCCTGTACTTCAGTAGTCTCAGGAGATCCCTCGTCTTCATCATCTTGAACCAGGCCAAGCAGTCGACTCGTTCTTGATCGCAACCAATCCATATCGGATTTCGGTGCCTCTTCAACAGACGTGGCCTCAGGTTCATCTTCAGTCTCGAAAGATCTAGACTTCTTTCCTACGGAATTATCTTCAGTTATATCATCCGGTCGCTCCGTCTGCTTGGTTTTAAGAGTGGGCTCATGGCCAGGCTTCAGGCGCTTGGCTTTGATGCTGGGTGTTTCAGTATTGCCAGAAGATACGACTTGAACACTATCCGTTGATTCTCCGTTAGTATTAATTAATATACCATCGTCAGCCCAAGTCTTCGACCTCATTGTCGGTTTCATCGTGGCAAGATATTCCTGGAGCTTGGGGTCTAGGCTCTGTTCTACTTGGTCGTGCTTTCGTTTGAGAGTTGTGAAGTTGGTTGATGTAGCATGTCTTGGATTTGCCTTCTCGACTACTGGTGGATCAGCGTCGACCTTAAGAATTCGGTCAGCTTCATAAAATCCTTCAGTTGGGTCAGCCTTCAAAGCTGGCTAAGTAAAATCACCGAGTGGGAAAGTTGGGAGCGCAGAGTACAGCGGAAGGGAAAAGCTACATACCGGTCGCGCCATCTCCACTGCAATTTTTGACATTCTTATGTATGTTTTGTTGAAGTATTTGACAGCATCTTGTGCTTCCGTAGGCGTTTTGAAGCCCACAAAACCAATCCTTCGTTTAGGGATGACATGAGCATCAGTAACCTGATACCGAGTAGAGAAGCGCTTTCGCAGCTCATCATTAGAAAAAGTAGGTGGCAAGCCTGACACGAAGACTCTTGTATTCTCCTCCATACTGGTTGGATGGGGATACGTCGGAATTCTTCGGCCTCGTTTTAGAGAATCAGATGAAGAAAACAAGAGAAAAAGAAAACAACGTTTTTTACTGCCGTAAAGGCGGTGAGGGATAGTTCGCGCCCTAGCTTTCATCTGATACAGCAACCAGCTAGAGAAACATTGCTGAAGTTCACCCCCTGAATTACTCACGTCACTTTATATCATCGTCCCATAACACAATCCGGCTTGTGTTGTACCTTTGGAACTTACTTGGGATATATCTCGAAATCCATACTCAAAATGGCTACTGAAAAGCGTGAGAAGCTGGAAGGTATACAACCCATACGACCTCTTCTCCCGCCAGGCGGCTATCACCTAGGGAAAAAGAAGACTTACTGACAAGATGTGAAATCATTAGCCCAGATTAAATCTGCTGATATGGTGAGCGCGTCAATCTTATTATGATGTATCATCAAAAAGGATGACTGTGGCTACGACCATTTCCTCTCGAATGGCCGCTAATACCCACTCGGCGTCTAGAGCGAAGACATGCAACAAGAGGCAATTGAAGTCGGTACGTGCATAACCTTGAAAACTGGGATAATTCCGGAATGGGAATACTGGTGCTGACTGTTGGGTGTTTTGGCAGCAACGGAGGCCATGGATAAATACCATATCGAAAAGGTACAGAACTGCCGTCTAAACCAGGAGTTGTGCATGTGGATTTAGCGGATCGATGTCTGTGAGACTGACAAGATTGCCATTTTAATAGGATATTGCGCAATACATAAAGAAAGAGGTAAACGAACGTTCCCGATCCACTTCCCGCATTGATCCTTTTCTAAGGTATGGCTTGGTACGCAGTTCGACCTGCGCAAAGGCGCAACCTGGCATTGCATTGTAGGGCGCAATTTTGGCAGCTTCGTGACACACGGTAAGGAGCCCATTCATCTTATCCCACCCTACATAGGGAAGATGCTAAAAAAAAAAAAAAAAAAAAAAAAAAAAAAAAAAAAAATCGAAAAGGGAAATGAAATAAAAATAGAGATGAATGTCCAGCTAACTTTTATGTCATGAACGTATAGAAACCAAGCATTTTATATATTTTTACGTGGGCCACTGCGCCATTCTGCTCTTCAAAACTCAATAAATAGCCTGCGATCATTTGTCTGTTTTCGGATGAAAATGCCAGCACTCGGTCTCCCCCTTCATATCGAGATCCTCGCCTTATGCCATTGTGCTCTGCAGTGGTTGTCGCAAAATGACTTAAAACCCCTCTCTCTCTCATACGCAGTTTGCCGCTCTAGAACCTGTATTAAATGGCGCCTAATGTTACTGGATTGTTTTTGTGATACATATTTGCACGTGTCTATAAGAGAGAGAAGGAAAGAAAGCGGGCAATAGAAGGTGAAACTGGAGCTTGGAAATGAATGACTCACGAACCTTTTCTCTTCGCTTTTTATTCTCTTCTTTTCACAGTTTGTCCTTATTTGTTGTGCCATGTTTCCGTTTCCATGTTTTTATCATTTTGGCCTCCATTATTCTTCTCTATGAAACCTACAATATATTTTGTCTGATCGCTCCATAGACCATACATTTTCGTGATATCATTTCCTCGTTTATGAATGAACAGATAGAAAAACATAACTCAAATTTACCATTAAACATGTAAATTTCCGTAAGGTGAAATTAGTCAATTCCAGATCCATAAAAACCCGTTTCTCAATCAGTAAAGCATACTGAGAACCGCCCGCTCTCCCTCACCTCCCAAAAAAGCCCAAAGGGAAAGTAAGAACGAAATAAAAGAGAGCAAGAAAAGGTATCGAACCCCCCATGAAAAATCAAGTTCCAATAAACAGTGGGGTATGTAATCGTACATTGGCAATGCAATCATGACAATATCGAAGTATTCCATAATTAGATAGTAAGTTAGATTAGATGGGACAGTTGGAGAAGTCCAAATCCAGCACAACAAAGGAATGGGAGGAAGAAAATAGTCCATAAAGTATGGCAAGACCAAGGAGATATAAGACGATGGAAGGGGGAAACATAAACGGGACGAAGAACGGTAGAAACAAGGAAGAAGAACAAAAATCCGGCCCAGCCTAATTATGCTTTTAGTTCCGCGAGCTATTTATACACGTAACCTGGCTGCTGTTGTCCTAGTGCCCCCGAGGCTCCTGGACCCTGAGGGCCCCAGCCAGGGTGCCCTTGATATGGTCCGGGTGGTGGTGCAGCTCCACCTGCTTGCGATTCAACATCACGTCGATTGCTGTGTGACAGAATGTTAGATGTCGACAGAAGAATAATCTAAAAAAATA